AAAAAAAAAGTAAAAAAAGCGAAGAAGTACATAAACATGATGGCATGGCAAGCAATAAATGCATCTGTGGTATTTAACTATGCAACCTACTAGTGGTACATCTATGGCTGCCACCGGCTGGCATTATTACTACAAATAGGTCATCTTTGAACATAGGTTTTTCAAGTCCTTCCAAATTTAGCCACAAACCATAGCTAGACTCAAACATTTACATTACAAAACACGAACAGATTAAGAAAGCAAGCCTTTTACTGCTTGGGTCGGTAGACCCAAGCATTTCACATATTTTAAAGGGAAACTTCAATCTCTTGTTACATAATGGCCCTGCACAATCGTAGCTGCAGTATTATCACACTGCCAACCTTTCCTATGAGAACGGTAAGTGTTGCAGCTCTCTAAATCTGCAGCTCAGCACTTAGAAATTATGCTACGAGTTAACCCATTCTCTTTGCAACAGAAAGGTTTAAGCCAGTTCAACGACCTCTTTTCACATTTGTCTCAAAGTTCAGTTTAAATGCTTTTTAAATTCTTTACAGTTAAGATAATCATATTTTACATAACTGATAGAACTGCGATATGCAGAAGAAACACTGAAAAACGTGTATATATCTGAAATACGGAGGAAGAATGGAAATGACACAACCTCTATTATGAGCTCTTTTTCTAAAATGATTAAAACAGTTGATCAAACTGACTCGTACCCAGCGGCAATACTTCCTGAGCTTCCACACAACTCCATAAACTAATTATTAGTTTAAACATTCTTGTTATTTCTTACCAGCTGCCCAGTTCTTCTCCATCTGATTACCAGCAGCAGTTGGTAAGTGTGCTGGTGCACAGTGCCAACCTTGTTGATACATAAGCTTCTTTTGTCATTACTAGCCTCTAGCAGGACGGAATTAAAAATTAACAGCCAAAGACAAAGGAAAACTGGCACATGCAACAAGAGCGCATTTTCGAAAGCAAACTACCACTACAGGAATTTCGTTTTCCCCACAAAGCCAGATGTCATTTGCAGCTGGTACATGACTATGAGGGACTAAGCGTTTGCCAAAGTTTCCAGCAGCAACCTCTACTTGCGAAGGAGCAACACAAAGGGACTGAAGCCAACTACACGAGATAGGAGAATCATAACTCACATTTTGAAATACAGAATGAACAAACCTAACCTGTCCACGCAGGTACTTACACAAAAAGGAGTAGAAAATTTGATGGTTCAGCCAACTAGCAGGGCCGTGGACATGGTTTCCAAAGGCCCTAATAAAGAGGCTTCCAGTCTGAATGTTTGCACTGATAACATCTTCATCATCTGCCCTCAAGTCCCTGGCTGCTGTTCCAACTGTTATTATCAGTTATTTCACTGCTATTTTTGAGATTTCTCTACATATCAGTACTTTTACCCTGTGTTTAATTTCATTAAAAAAAAAATTGATCTTTACCTAGTGTTGCATCCTCTTAAACAACTATAATTCACCCAAGTATACTGATGCCTTTTTTATGTGGTTTTGAACTGTAAGTGTCTGGCCCAAATGTTACATAAGCCTTTCTATGCTTCTTTTCTCCCATTTACAATTTAAGATCATCTTTAAAAAAAAAAAACCTACCACAAATGGAAGTGCATGATGCAATGTTATTTTAGGTACAACCCAGAGGAAGACTCACTTCTCCTTAAGGGTGCCTCTCTAGTGCATTTCGTTTCAGCTGTGCTTCTCTGACCAAAGATCTCCTAAGTAATATAAATAGATACTGGACTAGCCAGTTTGCTACTTTCTCCTTGAAAAAAGTACTGCCAAGCTCATACATTCCTGTAGTTAAGCACCAGCAGGGACTACCAGCCCCACAACTATCTTTGGCAGGGAAGCACTGGAAGACGTTTTGAAGGGTTTGGAAGCTGCACAGAACTTGCACTCTGCAGCTCAGCGTTAGCACGTAAACACCCCRTAAAGGATTACGGCCCTTGCAAAACTTTCAGTGGATTTCAAAGAGTTTTCAGGACTTCTCCTAATAAGAACAGAAGTTTAAACTCTTTTTTTCTTTCCTCTCCTTTCTTCCAGCACTAATCTCCCAAAAGAATGAGTTTTTAATGCTGCTACTTTGGCTGAGAGAGCTTATAACAGAATATGCCATTCAACAGCAACAACCCAGCTCAGATAATATACTTTTTTTCCGCCAACTTAAGTCTTATCTCCCAAAAGAAGTGCAGTTTGGGTTTCAATAGTTAAGAAGTGTTCAAGCTTTCCTGGAAGGGACAACTCCAACAGAAACACTCAAACACCTCATATCACGAAGAACAAAGGTACTTTATGCTTCAATATTTTATCACATCTGTATATTTTATGACAGGCTGCAGCACCAGTGCCTTTGGGAGGTTTAACTCTCAGGGAACAGTCAGCTATGCAACTCATAAGAATATTTTGAAATTTAGGGGTCCCMAAATGTTTAGAATTTAACTTGTGCCACATAACATATACGAATATATTGCAGGGTAAACACACACACATACAGACACACAAAACCTGTCAATGATTCCTTCCGCTTTTATGAAGGACTCCACATTGGGAGGTTTCACTTTAGGGTTATGATTTTTAGAGACTGCTATAATGTATAACGCTGATTATATTTTAACATTGCTCCCAAAACACGCCAGCATTGTAAATAACGTATCAGCTCAGTAAAAGCTGAGCCGAAAGGCTGGGAATTGCGCCGAGCAAGCGGCATTTCACCCTAGCCCCGGGCGGCGGGGCGGCCCCCGCTTCACCCCGCGCCAGGACATTTCTGCCCTGAGGGATCGCAGCGCCCAGGGCCGCGGGGGAAGGGGGGAACGGGCGGCTGCGACGCCCACCGAGGCCCCCCGCTGCACCCTGGCACGGCGGGAGGCTGCGGCCTCGTCCCCGCCGCCGCCGGGCCGGGCTATCCCGCCCCGCTCCTACCTTTCCGCCTGAAGAAGGACATGGTGCCGGGGAAGGGGCGAGGCGGCCGCCGGGGCGGGCGGCGGGGAGGAAGGGGGCAGCGAGCCGGGCTCCCTATGAATGAGACTCCTTCCTCCGCCCGCCGCCTCCTCTCCCTCCGCCTCTTCCTCCCGCGGAGGGGCCAGCGGCCGCCATGTTGTCAACAACCGCCCCGCTCCTTCTTCCGGGCGCCGCGTGAGGCATCACGGGACGCGGCGCGGGCGCCGGCGGGCTGCCTTGCCCCGCACTCAACATGGCCGCCTCAGCGTCAGGCGGCCCGGCCGACCCGCAGGGTGGAGCCATGTTGGATGAGGGCAAGAAGCCGGGAGGAGGCCAAGAGGGGGATTTAAACGGTAGCCTGTTGGGGTCCATCTTTGATGAGGGCAAGGGTGAGGCTGAGGCGGACATATTGAGTGAGGGACGGGGCTGGAGGTGCTGGCTGAGCGTCTTTGGGTCATGGTCTTGAAAAGCCATTTTTTGGGGAAACTCTGGCTCTTATAATTTATATTTTATGTAGGAGGAAAGCGAGTCACAGATCCAGAAAGCTCTCCCCAAGACCCACCTGTGTCTTTTCCATGAATCAAGCCTTATAAGTTTACACCCAGTTCCCATTTAGGTGTCTCCCGGATGRGACATTTCTGCCCCATTTCTGGGCTTGGTACAAGGGACCTTGTCCCTTGGGGCAGGACACAATCTCAGGCCCCGAGCAACCCCTGCAGGGGGCACAGGCCTCACCGGAGGCCAAAACGATGTCAATCCGGATCATCACATGGCTTCGTTTGTCACCCTTCCTCCACGTGCTCCAAAGTGCTCCGCAAATACTCATTAAGACCTATTAACTGCATGTAATTGCATAATAAGCATATGGGGATCTCTCCAGAACCAAAATTAAGCCATCCCCATAACAGGATGTTGCAGGTGATTAACACCCTAGAGCAGCTGCTCTTTCTTGTTTAATGGTATTATTGCTTTTCAGTGCAGTTTTACCCATATGCCAGGAGGCTGGTTTGAGGAATTCTTTTGTTCATTATGATTTATTTAATTCATAGGCTCATCATAGGCTAGCAATGGATTAAATTATTGAAAGATGGGTAAATTTAGAGGAATTGGACAAAGTATGTTAATTTAGGCCACTAAAACGTTTGCATCCAGCCATCTATGAGCACGTGTAATAACTTGCATTGTGAAGAGAACCCTAATACAACTGGTCTGATCCTCGGTATATGGCACACAGATTTCTCAATTTCTATGTGATTTTCTGTAGTTACAAGGTCCAGTTTTGCAGATCAAGCTGCAGGACTGGGACCAAAAGTTGTACAACTGACTTGGAGACATAAATGTTGCATGAAACCTGAGACCCACTCAAATGTCTAATAAAGCTCTCAATGCTAACACTAAAACACTAAAGCTGGATTTATGTTATTTATATTTATGTTATATTATTTATCACACATTTATGGCATTGTGCACATCATGGGTAAGAAAGAATCCAAATTATAACCTCCCCAAATAAAAATCTCAAGCTACCAACAGCCTTGGCCTCAGTCACATTGCCTGGGCTGGAATTTTCTCCCTGTTTTGGGAATGTGGGAGAGGAATGAAGCTCCAATCCACAGAACATCAGTCAGCTTGAGACCTCAGAGGCCTAAACTGGAAGCATGAAAAGCAGCAGGTTCAGGAGCTCTTAACAGAACATGACAATTTAATTAACTGAGCAATTTAATTAACAATTTAATTAAAACAAACAAACAAAAAAAAAAAAACAGACAGACTTCAGTATTTGAAAAGATTTAAATGGGATGTGCTGTTGGGGCATAACTTAGAAATCACAAGGCTTTTTGGCAGTTTGGCATCTTGGACAGCTACTCAACCAAAACGAACCTCTCCATTCAATCACAGTGTTCAGAAAACCCCAGCGTAACAAACCCCAATACTAACTACTTTGGATATGCAAATAATAAAAAGAAACCTGACTATGGAGCTTAAGAGTCTGCTGCTTCTTCTTTTTTTTTTTTTTTTTTTCCTTGAAATTAGGGTCATAATATAGTAGGAGTCAAGGGTGCCTTTGCAGAAACACACTCCAACTTAAAGATCTTATATTCTAAATGTTACTATTATCACTGTTAACAACATTAGAGATGGTTAATGGAGCAGACACCGTGTGGCAACAGTTGGGTATTTCGGCAAGCCGGGGGTCCCGGACAAAGCCAAATTTGGTGGCGTTTTGTCCTGCCAGAGATTCTTTATTTTTATTTTTATTTTTTTTTTTTCAGGAGGTTCTAGGAGCAAAATCACAACGTGTCGCTGCGCCGCAACCTCGGCGCACACCAGGAGAGGGTGCCAGGCTCCTGCTCCGAGCCGCCCGGTTTTACCAGCATCGTCCCGCACTGGGGCTGGAATTAAGAACTCGCGAGCAAAAAGCCCCAGATGTGAAGGGAAAGCTCCTTTTTGCTCCCGCTGCTTCAGAGGCAGCAGCACCTGAAGCCCCTGGAGGACACGGGGGCTGAACGAGCCCTTTCTGGCGGAACCCCGTTTTGATCGTTATTCCAGAACGCCAGGGAGGGACTCCGGCTTCACGGACCCGCACCGGCACCGACACCGGGCTCCACCCGGACAGGCCGTGTCCCCTCGGACGGTGCTGGTGGCGCCACTGGGACGGTTTGAGGTGGCCACGGAGCTGCTGGGATCCCTCACCAGACCCCRCAAGATGCGGGATGCGAGGCCACCGCGCTGCCGAGCAACCCGGGGGGTTGGCAGGAAYAAACCCGGGTGCAACAGCAATAAACCCGGGGAGCGGCCGGGGCTCGGGGGGGCTCGGACTGAGCGCTACAAACCCCACCCGTGCAGCAGAAGCAGCTTTTGCGCTTACAGGAGCAAATCCCAGGCGCCGCCGCGGGAGCCGAGTCACAGCAACCGCCCGGCGTTTTTATTCCCTTGGCATCCACGTCTGCCAGTCACAAATAAATAAATAAATAAATAAATAAATAAATAAATAAATAAATAAATAAATAGATAGATAGATAGATAGATAGATAGATAGATAGATAAATAAATAAAAATCTGCGCATTTTAACCCCAAGCGGGGCCGCGCCGCTTCCCGAATAACCCGCGCGCGGGGAACACCCGGCGTGCTCGCGAGCGGCCCCGCCCGCGGCGGGTGTCGCGAGCGCGCGCGGCCTCAGCCGCGCCCCGCGGGGAGCGCGCAGAG